CCCTCCCGAACCCCCAACCCCACACAAACCGCCCCACAATCACAGGTAAAAGCAGGTACTCCTGCAGACCGCTGAAAAGCTGCACCTGCTTTTGCACAAATCTGTTTGCTGAGCAAAAATGCAAAAATAAAAAAAAAAATAAAAAAATAAAAAATCCCTTCAATTTTTGGATGTGATACCAGTTTCCTAGTTTTCAATTATTAAAAATCCCCTTTCAGTCCAAGGAATGAAAATCACCAGTGAAAGAAAGAAATGCATTTGAAAGAATTCTAACTATGAAGCACAAAACACCCTAACCTGCAGTCATACCCTGAAATAAAAACTGGTTTAGCTTACAATCCAAACCCTAGTTCATTTCAATCTGAAGTTTTGCAACACAGCAGAACAAAATCCCACTTACTGGACACATCCATCAGCTCACAGATAGATCTTATTTGAAAGATGAGCTAAAATCTTATTAGGAGAACTGAACGGAGACCCTGGAACTTTACTTCATACAGAACTTTACCTTGCAGATAAACCTGTTTAATATTCCGCACTTCTGCAGGCGTTCTGGAGGCCAGAATTTCAGTCAACACTTTCTCATTGGTTCCTGCTCCCTGCAGGGGTGCAAGTATAAATCAGTTGATAGAATAACAAAAGGAAAAGAAGAATCCCCTTCGATAATCAAAAGCAAGCATCAGCTTATATGCCTGGACGAAATAAACTATTTTCTTCTTTCTGGTATATTATGAGGGGTTTGGAAAGAATTTCTTCCACTCCCAGCTTGTTTGTTTCAAAACCAATGCAATACTTAATAAAGGCTCACTGCTGCAAGATTCAGATGAGCCCTTCCATGACATTAAGGTAAGTGAATGAACAGACTAACAGTTTCCATCTTGGCTCTGGTTCATATATTGTGTTTCATCAACTAGTACACAGATAAACAGAGTCTTCCATGAATTGTAGTATGTTAAACCCATGCTCTCTTCCACTGCAAACAAACACATTTTACAGTAGAATTGCTAACCCAGACAGTTCAAGTTGCTGCACTCGTTCCAGCAAGCACAACCGTCACTTTTGGCTTTTACAAGGCTAAGATTTACAAAAGCCAAGCAAACATCTTGTTTCCACAAGTCTGAGTCTACTTTGTCTGTAAGAATAAGCCACTGCTCTTTACACTTCCAAAGGAGTGATTTCAAAAAGCAATACTGAAATACAGTACTGTGTCTTTTTTGCTTCAGCGTGTTATTTACAACCTTTCCTGTACGGAAAACGTGAATACTAACCGCATACAAAGGTATCCAACTGCATACACAGATATACATGGAGACAAATCTGCCAGGTCACACATAATCATTTCAAAATACACATTGTTTCAAGAACATGCCTCCTGAACGAGTGCAGCAGGCACAGTTGTATTAATTCTAATCCAGGTAATAGCAGCGAAAATTGGTAGGACAACCTTTGGCACAAACTTAACACTCTTAGCTGAGTTGTTGTCTTACACCGAAGTCTCTGCTATCTCATCTTCTTTACTACTGTTATCCACCTCAGCTGCACCACAGCTAGTATCTTTTCCTGTGCAGTCACATTCTCTGAAATCCTATGATAGTGTGTTTAGTATCATTTTTGTAAGTGTCAAGAACAAAACCACTCTTGTTTCACTATCTCTGTTTTCCCTCTTACACTCATCTGTTCTGCCATTTCCCTGTCAGTCTTTGACCTCTATGTTAACAAGAGCAGCTTGGGAATGCATTTTTTCCTATTAGCCAATAAAGCCTTTATCAGTTTCTTTGTCAGGTGCCATCGCCCCTTCCCCCACTGCATATAAACATTACAGAAAATGTCCACGATTAAAGTTTCTGTTGTCTGAGATACTACTTGCTGGGTCACGGGCTCATGAGCACTAAGCTTGCACAGTTGACTCAAGTCTACATATTAACCAGTTGGTCATCAAGGATCTTGGGAGTTTGTGTGTCATCCAACCAAGCACTACCTGACACTAGTCAAGTTCAATGTCTCTTACTTTAATCAACAGCTTCTGTTAATAACCCAGGTACATCCAATTCCTGAATTCCCACAGGCAGATATCAGACAGGTGTGACAGAGAGGAAAATGAGGACCACATGGAAGAAAACACACTAAAAGATCTACACATACAGACTGCAAATTGCTTATTCACCTGGCCTTCCCAGAAGGGCACTAAATGCATTCAGCTGAAGAGAAACATGTGAAAGGTAACATTGACAGGGCTACCGACTCTTCCCCCTGTATTCCTGGAAGCAGCTTTTAGAACACCTTCAACAATACAGTTACTACTCCCTCACAATTTTGGTGACATTAGTTTACACAAGCACGCTAGCCCATCAAATTTAGTTGCACAGAGTTGCACCGTAACCCATCAGGGGAACAACACTCGCTAGTGTTTTTCCCCTGATGGGTTACAGTGCAACTCCCTTAAGTAACAGTCAAGAAGAGACAAACAAGTAACATCACACTTTAATGAAATGCCTTGAACTAATTTGCAGCCAGTGTGTAGAGCTGCACAGCTATAAAACCTAGGCTGCTCACAGCAGAAAGATCTAGTGTCCACTGGTCTTAAGCACTGCACTTTAGCAGCAAAAAGAATTTAAAAGCAACATGCACATCTACGCACTGCATTTAAATCAGAAAGAACAAGTCTTAGAATTGTGCTGTGTAGATTTTAATCTGCATCTACAGCCACGGTATTCTCTTAAAATTACAGTTTCCCACTAAAATAATTTAACATAAAACATTACACTGAATAGATTTCTAAGCTACCTTTGATGAGTTATTAGGATGAATAACAAACCAGGCAATACTATGGCATTAGCAATAATAGCAGATGTTAGCATAACATTCCAAATCACAACCAACACACAAAAAAGGCTACTTTATTAGAATTCCTCTTACCTATCAAATGTTCATTCCTAACAAAACCCAACCAAAACCAAAAACCAACCAACCAACCAAACCACGACAAACATTTTATGCAATGCATGAATTCCCTTCCCTCACTCCTCTTACCTTGATGGCATGCTTCAGTGCATGAGCATCAAAAATATATGTCGGTCTCATCAAAGATACCATCAATGTTTCAAACTTGCCCGTAAGTTCAGATTTCAGGTCATCTACAAGATCCTAATGCAGAACAAATAGTGCTGTAATGAACAAGGACTAACCATTTTAAAAGGATGCATGTGTGCCTGCAAGCTGGAAGACTCTGTGGACACATTAAAAAGCACAAGGGACAGGGCTTCTGTTTTAACTGGTACCTGAACTTGAAACAAATGTAGCCAGATAAGGCAGAAGAAAAGGGCATTTAGAAACCCTGAAAAATAGTGTGAAGTCACTTACGGTTTTATCAACCCATATATTTGGTTTTGTTCTCTCCTATGGTATTGGGCTGCTTTATTTCTGTCACATTTTCTAGCTCTTGACCTTGCCTCAAATATTTGGTAACTCCTTCCCATACCAAGAATGAGGTTAGTACTAGAAGCATACTAACAGCAAACTACAGAGGCTTCTGCACAAAACTCTACCTAGGGCATACTGGACCAAAATACAGTAAAAGGAAGTAACTCCCTTGTGCTAGCCTAAAAGCAATACTCTAACCTCGCCGGCAATTAAGGATATGGCAGGGTGGGGAGAGGGACAGACAGAAGCAAAACTAGATGTTCTTCAAAGCAACCTTTTACAGGGAACATGATGAATGTGCCTCACAGGTTTAAGTAAGCATCATAAGTAACTTTCAGTTCATTTCTAGAGGTATTTTTCTTCTTCTCACCCTGCCAAACAAGGTTTTAAAGGCAGATGCAATTTCTTGACGCTGAGCATTGTTTCTGCTGGTAAGGATCTTCAGGACAGTTTCTTCATCAGTCCCTGAAGTTAGAAAGAACACAGAGTTACAAACACACTCTAAAAAACAAACAGCTGTGGCACAAACGCAAAAGGCAATGAACGACACACTGAAAATAACAGTCTACTGACAAACAGCAGGAGCATTTAAGTAACACATGTCACCAGACCCGAAGCTGAGCCCACAGGTTTGGCGTCCGGCTGTTGCAAAAATATGACTGGAGGACGTGCGTGTTGTTTGTTCTCCCTCTGTACTCTGTTCCAGACACTGCTCCCAGCACCCCAGGCATCAGCTACACCATTTACTCAGGAGTCTGTATTCTATATAGGAGTCTTGCCTTTGGGCTCACGAAGATATTTTCTTTAGAATAAACAATCTGTGGACTCCCAACTAAACTCAGTCCAGTAACCCAAACACCCCAGAGTACAGAAGCACAGAGCTATGACCCATTTCTCATACAGCAGTTCACCAGGTAGCCCTCCCAGCATGGCATTTAGTAACCCTACTGAACTAGCCAATAGGCTCAGGTATATCACATTTCCCTTCTTCCCTTCTCTCTGCTTCCTACCGCACGCAGCTTCAAAGAAAGCAGCAAATCAGGATTTGTTCCCACAGGGAAGTTTTGGGGCAGAAAGCTACAGTGTGAGTTTAGAGACCACTTGCCAGTATACATTTATGCTGTGTGCTTGCATTCTTTGTTCACAGTCACTGTAAAGTGCTTACGCGCTTCCAGACCAACGGGGCCGTCGCACATTTTCCAAGAACAGAGCTTCCACTGTACTGGAACTCTCCACAGTGGTCGCCTGTAAACCCACATCCTAGCTGACTGTGCAGTAAAACTCGGAGTGCAGAGAAGCCTGCAGAGCACCAACTCTGAACGGGGAAGTGCAAACCACCTTTTTACCCCACTGCTTACGCTAAGCTAAAAATCAACACCCTTGAGAGCAGCAGAGTCACAACCAGGCCATGCCCAGGCCCATGCACTCCTGGGGTTGTCATTCCATGGCACGCAGGCGCACACCCTACCCTCATCTCCTGATGAGAAAAGAAATGAGTTCAGAAAGGATGTTTGTAAGGGAGAGAGAACCCTTCCCTTTTCATTCAACACATTGTTCTTACCCATTCCCTTCATAGCCTTACGAAGAGCTTCTGCATCAGCTCTGGCATCAAAAGGAGAGAAGGCTGTCACGGTTCCTCTCGTATACTACAGAGGGAAAAAAGGGGTGGGGAAAAACAGAAAAAGCCATGAAATGGAGGATAGCATCTTTCAGCTTTCCACACAACAGCTCAGACTAAATTTGAATCCATAATCCAAAAGATTATAGTGTTTTTCTTGCAAGTGTCTGACTCTGTAGCAATCTGTGGGTACTTAAACACAGCTCCCTCAAAAGGTACTACTATGGTTTTACTCAGCAGCACACCACCTAAGCTCAGGTGTATTTACATAATGGTAGTTTGCAGGAAAATTACTAAGAAAATATAATTTGTTCAGCTAATTTGGGAAATTAATTGCACAAATCAAGTATGCTAGAAAAGCTGCACCAAGATCCAAGACATGTTTGGAAATATAAACTTCCTCCCCTCCAGGAAAACCAACTGGAGCTCTCAATCAGTATCACACTGATTTTCTTCCATCACGTTGCAAATGAGACCTACTGAACTGCAACAGCTTTTGATTTTTTCACTGTGTTTCTTTTGACATAAGCAACTCCTTACACTCAAGCAACCCAGCTGCATTTCTCATGGTAGTTTGCAGCTAAAAAGAAATAACAGTTCAAACCATAAGGATAACAGATCAGTCTGTCCAGCACAAAAATAATTCCACTAGGTTTCCATGGGATTTTCTCTTTGGGTCAAACACAAAGGGATATTCATCACCCTTATGGAAAAGTCTTGCTGTTAAAGACCACAGAGAGATCAAGAGTTCAAACCATGCTTTAAAACTAACAGAAGAAATATATAATTATTTAATGACATCCTTACCACAATTTCAAGGGCAGTAGGATGCAAATTACATGGTGAGTTGATGAATATAGGCACAGAGCTGATGCAAACACACAGCTATAAAGATGCCTCTAAAAAAAAAAACCTCTCTAAGTTTAGTAATGCTTCAGATTGTCCACTTAAATGGAAGGAGTAAGCTCTGGACAGCAGGCTATATTCACATCTGCCCCACTAAATTTAAACTCCTGACCAAAAAATGGAGTTACACAACCTCTGTGTTGAACTCTGAGTCAGTACACCATGGAGACACCAGAGATATGGAGGAAGGAAAGAAAAAGGCAAGTGAGGGGGTGGGCGAGAGGGAGAAGAGCGAGCAACAGCAGCGTAGGAACCAGTGCAGGGACATCTGCTAAAGCACTCAGAGAACGTATCCTCACAAGTAACCTCAACAATGCCAAAGAGCGTTTCCAAAGCTGCTTATTCATTGTGCAGGAAGAGATTGTACCATGTGCATCTCTGCATTAACAAAGACCACTACACACACAGCCGTGTGAGAAAAGGCAGCTTGTTAGGCCAGCAGTGCTCCTCCAAAGAAAGCAGGTAAACACAGGCATGGAGAGACCAGTCTGCACAGCACGTTATGGCATGCTGTAGTTTTCCTACAAAATGAATGAACCTTGTTGTCCCAATCATGAAAAACACAGAATCCCTCAGGTCTTAGGGAGCGGAAAAACAAAATTTAAAAAGACCTGAGCAAGAACAAATACTTCTGTGACTAAGACTCTAAAGATAACTTACCTTCCTCAAAGGTTTTATTCTTCAGTGATGTATCTAGACTGAACTGAACTTCAGTACACCGTGCTGTGCAGCCTTTGTGAACTCTGAACCATTAGCTGTACATATGAATAACTACTGTCAATTGACACTTGACATTTCATGATTGCCAGGAATTTTCATTTCTTACCACTACTTCATGGCACAACAAAATGTAGAACAGGCACCTGGCATGTGGAGCGGAGCTTACTCTTCAAATTGGTTTTTAGTTCTATAAAATTAATTACAGGCTACGAAGCTTTAACACTCTAGTCTTCCACGGCTGCCTAATCACCCAGGCAAAGAATGAAGTGGAAAGCAGCCCTCTAAAGGTGGAAATTGGAGGATAACGCCTACCTAGTACAGGACAGACCACAGTTGGTAACCCAGCCCGAAGTGTTACCTCAGGCAATAGAAAATTCTACTGTGTGAAGCCAACAGCAACTGATTTGCACCAGTGAAGAACTAAATATCCCTTTTAGAAAGATAAAGAATTAAAGTTTGTGTCTCTCTGGAAAAGACAAGACAATTTCAAATTTTCATGCTTTTACTAAAAGGAAGTTACCCTCAAGCCTGTAAGCAATGCTACATATACTGCAATAAAAGGCTGTCAACTTAGATCTGTATGGTCAGATGCCCTGCACTGGCACGGGTTTTTCCTAAGATGTGTCCTACAAAGCCTGGTGTTTAAAGACAGATAAAACCCCCTCTTTATCCATCCATGTATGTGTGTGTCCCCAAAACTTTAAGGATATAATACTGTTAAAACTTTCTTTTCAAAATGAAGTACCCTTTCTTTGGTTTAAAACTAAATCCAGACATAATATGAGTAAATATTCACAGGACTGTTAAAACACCACCAGTGGCATTTGATGCAACTACAGAAACGAACGCTGGAGCCCGCCCTGTTTTCCAAGCCCTCATCCAGGGTCAAACCACAGCAACACAAGGGCTGCAAAGGAAGAAACAGATCCCACGAAGTACTGCACGATAGTTGCAAGGATTCCAGATAAAAATTAAGTTTGATAGGGGATATCAAGCCCCTGTATGTGTGGGGCACAGCCACGGCTGTTTCTTTCCTTCCTCGTCCAGTGGAAAGAGCCTCCACCCAGGCACAATATAAATACACGGTACCGAAAACTTGGCCAAATTAGTGGAAACTGGCAGAAAAAAAAAAAGGAAAAGTTCTGCTTGACGTGTGCCTCACATGATGAGCTGCTTTCCCCGTCCCCCTCCCCTCCGCGTCTCCTCAGGCGTAGGGATGTGTTGATTTAAGGGAGACCGAAAATGAGGTAAGGAGGAAAAGCAAGGAGGCAGATAAGATGAGAATGTCCCGGGTCTGGCCGGGCC